ATAATTGTACATAAAGAAACAACTTTATACCTCTGAGCCTAAGATCTTATTGGTAGATAGTAAAATAGTTTTTTCTTGTCACCTTTTTTCTTCAAAATTCTTCTCCTTAAACAAAATTGGTTTTGTAATGAAATCAGCTTCAGTCATTCAGATACACAAATATCCTGATTTTCAGACACAAATGAAGACAGCTCGTTCTTGTTTTTCTCTTTTAAAAACATGTTACTCTCTCTGCTTTAGAATATTGTCAACCTCAGCAAGATTGTCTTCTGCAGTTTTCAGGTAACACTTAGCCTCACTAAAGAAACATATTGTAAAGTCTGCAATATTTTTCTATTGTACTTTTGTCACATATCTTTAAGACTCATCTGTATGACCCAAATCTGTCCAGTGTTTGCACTTGTCTTAAATTTCTCAAGTATTTTTGGAGACTGTCCAGATCCCAATGCTCTCAGTATTACGATTTCTCTCTCTCCTCTCCATTCTTTCAGCTCACCCCCCACCTCCTTCCCTTCTTTTCATTCTCCTTCCCTCCACCATCTACCATCATTTCTGAACTCCCTAGCTGTAAAACAACATTCTGTCACTCAAGTTTCTCTTCTCATTGCATTGTCTTTAGCTCTCACTAAATATGAGAGCTCTTCCCCATCCACTTTATTAGTCTGAAGGCTTTGGGCAGTCTTCTAGAATTTCCATTTCTGATTATAATGACTTCATGTCTTTACATGTGTGAAGCATCTAAAATGCTGTAAACAATTACTAACTGGCAAATATGTTTTCCATTATGATGTTTCTCAACTGCATGCTGTTTTGTTTCACATAAATCTTTTCTTTTTGTTTCCTCGGGTTTCTTATATACTTACATTAATACATACTAAAATATTTTTGAATTAATGTTTTTAACCTTTGCATCTTTGCAAATGCCTCTAGGTTTTGGATTGCCACATATTCATTTTCAACTCTTCAAATCTAAAGAAATATCGTAAATAAATTTATAGCTTCTAACTTTGTAAACTAACATATTTTGCATGTTCTCTTTAGAATGGAAGGATTGCCAGATTAGTCATCAATGAATCATAACAAAGGTGCAGAACCCTGAACATCCCTTCCTCCGGAATATTTATTAGGAAACTCATCAGAGCTTTCTTATGTACACACTCATCACTTAAGCAGGACACTTTATCATAGAACTACACTCACTGTGCTTAATTAAAATCAACACATGCAAGTAATAGTATTAGTAGGCATATTACTTTGTTCTAAATTGACTTCCTTAACAATAGACATATTCGATAAGCAAATAAATGTAAGTGCTCATAAATCATAATACATTTTTATGTATATTTTACTTTACATATCTGAAATTTTGGCTCGTGTAAAATGTGTGAAGAATGAAATAAGAAATATTAAAATGGAAATTGCACATACATTTTAGTAGTAATTCTTGCCTTATTTTATTAATGCCATATGTTGTTAATGTTCATTGTCATATATTCTACTCGTTTTCTCTGATAATTTGTGTAAATTTTTAAATGCATTTTGGTATTTACGGTGCCTTCAAATAAGAATGTTTTAAAGAGTACAAGAAACCACCAAACTTGAAAGAAAGATATAAGTGAAATATTTTACAGGCAGGGATTAGTCACATAATAAAGAAAATAATTTAATAAATAATAAAAATCACTCAGTAGTGAAAAAATATTACCAAACGAAATGAAATAAAATAATTTGAGAGGACTGGGTATAAAAGTATCCATGTACGTCATAATACTTAAGCACATAATCAGTAAGTATATATTCATAGATAAATATACATATATGTATATGTAATTCATATAAGTTTAATATTTCCTAATGAAAAATTAGAGATTATGTAGCAAAGATTTCAAAATAGATATTTCTTCAGTCATCATCAACATTTCTCTCTCATCTTAAATGTAATATACTTTTCTATTACAAGTCTTTCAAGGCTTTTTCAGAATGAACATTAAGAATGAACATGAGGGAGGCGTTCACAACTGAAACTGTTTTAGCAAGTTTCTGTGGTTAACTTCTAAGGACATGACCTGGATGACATGACCGCATTTTTTGTCCACGTTGTTTACTAAGAAGAACTTAACCTCTTCACCTTTGTATTTGAATGTATATTTCCTTCTCTGGGTGTTTGATGGAATCTTAAAAAGTGATTAAGTGTATGTGTGCTGCCACTGTCATCGATGGCAAGTCATAGAGCTAAATTAATTTCCCGGATTTATAGCTTCCAAATTTGAAAAAGTCATGCTTTTGTTAATTGGCATCAGGAACAGATGAGAATATTTGGTATTTCTCATATGTTTTATGAATCTTTTTATTCTAACTCTAAAACCAGATGTAATTTTGGTCTCACCCCATCTTTTCTATGTACTCCCAATTGAATCTGATACAAATTACCTAAAGCTCACTGACTTTATTTTCCTCTTCTCAAAGATGACCATAATAGTTTCAATGCCATTAGGCTGTTATAAGAATTACATGAAAAAAAAAAAGAATTACATGAGAAGTTATGCTTGTTAATACCAGTTCCTTCAACCTGACTTTGTTTATTCTTGTTTTTAATGTGGTGATGCATCCTGAAAAGAAGAGTGCGCCACATTGGAAATAAATGGCAATGGAATATTTTGAGTACTGTACTGTAATTATGTAAGTAAATGGGAAAAGTGCAGGGAGGATATTGATGTCTTGCTTTTCTTCAGCAGAGCTGCATTTAACATAAAGGGGAGTCATTTTATTGAATAATAAAAAGCCTGACAATCACTGTGATTGGCTGACAGCCATTACTGCAGTGTAATTCTAAACAGCTTGTTTTTCAAAGTTCTTCTTGAATAACTCTTTAAAACCCAGGCATTGCCCAGCCTAGTTGAAAGGCTCAAAACTCATTTTTAAGGTAAAGTATCTCTCATTCAAGTAGCGCTGTGATATAAGTGATGGGAAAAAAAAAAGATATACATGAAAACAGTATTTTCTTCTAAATGATTAGAATCAAATGTATATTTGACATGAAAGGAAAAATTTGGGAAATGTAGCAAACTAAAGTTCAAACAGGAGATCAAATTAAGTCATGAGACACTGGAGAAAAAGACCACATTTGAAGACATCTTACTTTTAAAAAAAATGAGGCCCAACATGTTTGACAATGAAAAGTATAACATTTGATCTACATTCTGCAGCTTAAAATTCTGTGATTTCTGAACAAAACTCAAGGCTGCAAAGTTACCAAATCTACTTCCATGCCCTCATCTGTTTGCACCGGTGTTGCTAATCAGCCAGCCTCACTTGTAAGTCTCCATAATAAGTGGATGTACAGTTGGCAACTCAACAAAATAAATATTTAATGATAGTTTGATGGCTATTTTAAATATCTTGTATTTAAATTGAGGATTAATGCTTTACTTGGCCAATGAATTCTGACCAGACCGAGAAATATATTTACTGTTGTAGCTCCCTGTAATGGATGTGTACTTAATTCTGAGAACTGTGCAGGTTCTATAGATCATTTCTGATGGAAACGCCTTATCTCAGACGTCATCATTGGAAACGCTGGGAGAGAGATCAGGGACAAGAATCTGTGAACTGCAGAACTGTGCTAATTGCTCATTCTCAGAGTGATGCCAATTAATTCCATACAACCCAGATTCAAAGCACTGGGAATCGAATCGGTACTGGTGTGAATATTGAAAAAAAAAACAAAAACAAAAACAAAAAAAACACCACGAAGAAAAACAGATGCAGTCCAGTCCCCAGAAAGCTGATTCTTCAACAGGCAGCGAGAGAAGAACCCAAGGCACCCGGTGATTGGCTGATGGCATCTTTGTTCAGGCGATAGGCATCTTAAACCTGAGGCTGGGTGGAGAAATCCCTCTCACCCTCACCTACAGAATCCACTACTCAGCCACCTGGGCTCCCGCGGGCTGCGCCGCCACCTCACTGCTGGTGTACGTCTCCCCCTCTCGACCGCCCAGAGCTCGCTCCCTCTCAGGGAGCACTCACACAATGGACTCACTTGTTTCCCTTGCACCTCTCCTTTGACTCCCAGCCTGAGCCAACAACTTGAGCAAGAGTCAGGCGGGAATCTCGGCCGTGGAGCACAGACCCGGAGAGCCTTCCAGATGAGCTTGGAAGCACGCGCGCACAAGCAGACAAAACAAACAATGCCTGGTCCGTGAATGAATAAATTAGCGACACCCACGCCCCCACCCACCGCTCTGCAGCCCGCAAAAAGGAACCCGGACGGGATTTCTTAAATGAGAGAGACCGTTTTGTCTTTCAAAACTGCAAATAGCCCTCTCCGAAGAAAGCGGAAGAGGTGCCGTGCTTTCAGATGGCAATAAAGATTGACAGTGGCTTTGCCCCTGACAACGCCCCGGGTATCGCGCAGAGCCAGGTTCCCTGAGAACTGCGGGGAGGCTGGAAGGGCACATATCTAGTGCGAGGGAGCAACAGAGGCATTGACAGCCACAGAGGGGTGGAAAATCGGAAATGGGAGTGGGGGTGTCGATGAATAGTTAAACCGGGCTTGGATAGTGAAACTTCGGGAGAGGAGAGGATGGGATCTCTTGCCTGGTAAACTACCTTGCGATGGAGAATAGACGAATAGAGAAGGAAGTGGCATGCAACAACTTTGCGGGAGCAGCAAGTTGTGCACCTCCTCTCAGGCGTTTGAGCAGCACCCCCTCTGCTGCCCCTAGCACACACACTCCCAGTCGGAGGCGGCGGCGGTAGCAGCACCAGCAGCAGCAGGAAACGCGGCAGGAGCGGGCGAGGGGAGGGGGGGGG